AGACTGGGAAGGGGCTCCTGGACCTTGTCCAGCACTGAGCCAGATTCTCAGTACTTCTTAATCAAAGAGGAGCTTTGTAGATGGTCTCAGTATGGGACTGGGGAAAGGCAATCTCCCAGCCCTGAAATTCTGAGGCTAAAGCAAATTGTTAATCAGCTCAGCTCTTGTGACCCCTCTCAGCCCTTTTGACCATTTCGACCATTTCTCTGAATGTAGAGGCTTGTGGGCAGGGAGGTCTAACTGGGCATTGTAATTCGGGCCAGACGCTCCCAGCAAGACTCAAACCCAGTGGGAGATCCTGTGGTTCGGCAGCATCCATCTGCTCAGCATACTTTGACCAAGCTCTGGCTTTGTCAAACATGGTGCCAGGCGCCTTGACATGCTATTGAAACCTCACAATTCAATCAAGCAGGTGCTGGAGTTACCCTTCCCCCTTTTTTTCCAGAACCGGAAATGGAAACTGAGAGATTTAATAAGCAGCTTATTTGGAGTCAGTACCCCATCAGCATGCACGAGGGCCCATAAACAGGGATGTGCCAAGGAATGTCAGAGTCTTGCTTTATTCCCCAGCAGATGGTAGGTAGTAAAGGTAAATCCAAGCTAGTTAGGCCAGGTTGCAAAAGTGGAATGCTGGGCCTCCCTGTCCTGGTCTTCCATCTTTCCAGACTGCTTTGCTTACAAGTCTCACTACTTTTTATGTCTGCCCATCATTGTGAATGCACATGCTGGCTGTCTCTTTAACATCCTACCATCTTGCCTAGGCATCAGGATGATTTTGTTCATTATCTTTTTTTTGAGACAGAGCCTCAAGCTGTCACCCTGGGTAGAGTGCTGTAGCATTATAGCTCACAGCAACCTCCAACTCCTGGGCTCAAGCGAATACTCCTGTCTCCGCCTCCCAAGTAGCTGGGATTATAGGCACCTGCCACAATGCCCGGCTTTTTTTTGGTTGCAGCCATCATTGTTGTTTGGTGGGACGGGCTGGATTCGACCCTCCCGCCGGGGTGTATTTGCCTGGCGCCTTAGCCACTTGAGCCACAGGTGCCAAGCCTGTTCATTATCTTAACTTGGGTTTGGTTAGAAACTTTCTTGGAGTTCGGTGTCTATGTAGACTCCTCTCCTCCCCTTTGTAGGACCTCCTTTCTATGCCATTTGTCTATGGCTGAGGTGACCCTCACTCCCCTAAAGTGCACCTTCTATTTAAGGTGCTGCTGGCACCTTTGCTACACAGTA